CTAAAGACGCGATTTTGAGGCGAGTATCCTTATCCTTAACCTTCCTTGTCTTAAGCATATCAACCACCGTTTCCACGCTACAAGACTTTAACGACCCAAACAAGTCATTCCAATAAAGCTTCTCGTGTAGAGGATTCTTCCTTTTCTTTCGCCTTGATGGAGGAACCCTATCACAGTTGAGGCCGGTGACTATTGCAAACTCTCTAAGAGAGATCCTTATTGGGTATCCAGCAAAAACAAGCCAAATCTCGTAGAGCTTGCGGGTCTTCAACATACGAACACAGACGAAGTGACAGAACGCGCCGGAAAATGGAGGATTATCATCGAGAGAGAGGACCTTCGAGAATTGAGTTCGGTGGAAAAATGCTAACTCGTCCTCGTCTAATGCTTCAATTAGTTGCTATGTTCTTCGATACTTGTGGTAAGAGACAACTCTGTCGCCTACTGGTTCATCACCACAAGCAAAATATCGTCTAGGAAGGCTGAGATTGGACATCGGAGGTTTTGGAAGAAGAAAGTCGGAAGTTTTTCAGTTTAAAAACGAAGATTGAAAGAAGTGGGAAGATGGGAAGTTGAATTGCAGAGGGAGGTTACTATTCAGAGTGGTGGGATAAATTTTTACAGTTACCGTAATTAATGAATAATTTCAAATTTCAAAATATAAAGCATGCAAAAGATTTTACTGGAAAACAAAAAGGTTGACGGGAAATAAAACAAGCGTGGGACGAGCTCTGACACAGCTACCCGTAGGCGCGTGAGCCTAAGAGAGTAGTATATCGAAACACGGAAGAGTAAAATGGTCCGACTAAAAGAAAGTGTCATATCAGGGTTAGTTCACTAATTGAAGGTGAGAACTAGGGTACTTTCACAAATTAACTTTTTAAAATAAGAACGTAAACTGCCTTTCTCGTGTTACAAAAAAATGCCTTATATCAAGGAAAAAGTCATTTAAAAAAAAAAAAAACTCATCGTACATATTCAAAATAATTTTCAAACCGGTGGTTCAAGTGAATGTCCAGTTTCGTATTTTACCTTTTATACGGGGACTTAACATTTAAATAAAGAAGGTTAAAGCCCTTTTAGGAAAAGGTCAAAGCTTCTGTTCCTTATAAGGTTGTTTTAACGCCTTAAACCCCTAGTAGAAGACGAAGCCTAACAAAAACCCTAGAGGACATGACGAATAATCCTACAGCTCCACCTCGTAAGAAAAAGAAGAAGACGAAGCCTCCATCGTTTTCATCAATTCCGGATGATGTTCTTGTGAACATCTTAGCTCGGATCTCGAGATCACACTACCGTTCCCTCTCTTTAGTCTCCAAGCACTTCAACTCTCTTCTCTCTTCACAAGATATCCACACTGCTCGATCCTTGATCGGTAACACAGACGCTCGCCTCTACGTGCGCCTATGGCTACCCAATCCCTCCTCTAGTCATCGTCATAGCTGGTTCACTCTTAGCTACCGTCACGGTCAGTTAAGTTTAGTACCCGTAAGAGCACTATCTTCCTCTTCCTCGTATTCGCCCGACCGGTCAAACTCAACCACTGTAGCCGTACACTCCGACATCTACCAGATAGGAGGAAGCAACGAGGACAAGCGGACCAGAGCCGTTAGAGTTCTTGACTGTCGGAGTCACACGTGGCGTTTTGCTCCGGACATCAGGGTGGCGAGGAAACACGCTAGGTCTTACTTTTTAGATGACAAGATATATGTAATAGGAGGAAGCACATTGACGAGTTGGTGGGGTGAGGTTTTCGACCTAAAGACTCAGACTTGGAAGCGATTGCCTAAGCCTCTTAGTGATGATGATGACGGTTACGTCCATTCGTATGACAATGGTGCAGTTTATGGAGGAAGGCTATACGTTTTCACTATGGACAACAACAACAACAACAAGTATGCATATGATCCGAAAGAGGAAAGATGGGTAAAAGAGGCGGGGTTTGTGGGTCTAGAAGGTATAACTGGACCTTGGTGCGTTATAGGAAATGGAATTTATGCTGAACATGAGGGTAAGTACACGTGGTATGACCCAAGGAGTGGGAAGCAGGTAATGGTGTATGGTTTGAAAGATGTGTACGAGAAACGTGCTAAAAATTACAGAACGATTGAGTTAATTAACCATGATGGGAAACTGGTAATTGTATGGGATGAATGGCATAAGACTCAAAGGGAACACAAGGGTGTTTGGTACAAGAGTGTTTGGTGTGCGGTGATTAGCTTGGAGGAGGGTTTGACTCCATTGGGAACACGTATGCGGGGGAGTGTCGAACAATGCAATGTCGTTTTGAATAGAGTACACAAGTCATTTAAGCTCACAAGCTGCCAATCGGTTTCGGTCTGAAACCTCATATTTTTTTGCTTTCAACATATTATCTACTAGGTGATTTTCCCGTGCTCATGCACGGGTATAAATATTTTTTAAAGTAAATATATGATAATAATTGATTACTATTTAGTTTTAATTTTAAATTAATTTATAATTTGTATGCATCATTTATATTAATAATATTATTTTAATTTAATTATACTGTAGTTTTATATATGTTATATCTAGTCGATTTTGTTGTTTTTACAGTTGATTTAGTTATCATTTGGATAAATTGAATTTCTTTGAATCCAATTGTTATATCTAATTTTTAATTAGTTACTTATTTACATATAGTGGGTGTTGTCTTAGATATGTAAATATATTTTTGGAAAATTATGTATAACTTAAGATATATTGTACTTAGAATAAATTAAAAATTAACTAAAGTGTCTGATTCTAAAATACGTAAATTAATATAACAATAATATTCTAAAGTCTCATGCATATATATAAATTTTATAAAAGAACTAAAATTGTAAGAGTTGATTAATATTTATTTTCATTTGTTAATAGGTTTTGAGTTATCTGATGATCAATAGAAGGTTACATGCATAAGTAGTTGATACATTTTTGGAAGCTCATGAACACATATCAATATTTACAATAACTAAAATATCTATAAATCCTAAATAACTTTATGCTTTAGATTTAATGAATATAAACTAAAGTTTATTTTAAATAATCTTAAAATTGGGAATTCAGATCTGCTTTGGTATTTTTATTATGGTTATATTTAGTTTCACAAACATAAAAACATAAAATTTAATATTAAGAATTTTTTTTAATAATGATAAAATATCATATATCTAGCTCATTAAATTATTTGTTAATTATTTGATCAAGTGATATTTATTGTTAAATTTATTTTTAAGTTTTTAATATCTCTTAAAAATAAGCACTGCACAAAATTGTGATTATATTTGAAAATAATATTATATAGGTAAAATATAATTTATAGATAATTTTCTGTAATTGAAAGATATTATAGTCAACTAAATAAATACAAAATCAATAATACTAATTATAAACTATTTTTATTACTCTAAAAGTATATTTTATGTTATTTAAAAATATTTTAAATGTATTATTACTATTTTGTGAACTTTTCTTTTTTATGAAATCATATTATATATACACATATTTTTCGTTTTCAATTTTTTTTGTGACTTTATAAAAAATTTCCTTTTTATTACATATATTTTTGGAAATTTTTGTAAAGGAAACTAAATAAAAGAATGAATAATACTATTTTAACTGTTTTTAATTCATTAAGGGTATCAGTGTAATCAACCATCGTAAGAGTGAACGTGAGAACGCCACATAGGAAACTGACTTCTCAAATAATATTATAGAGATTTTTAATAAGATGCCATTATTCACTTTAGTCTTTTTTTTAATTTTATGTTTAAACTCTTATGTAAGATGTTTATGTTTTTTTTAAGTCTCGAGGATACAAATACTATGAAATGATTAATATTGTTGCAGTGGTGTTGCCCTTTTTTATTTTATCTTCTTTTAACATATCAACTGCCAAAGCATATTTTTCTTCTTTTTACATTTTCTGATAACATGGACCTTGGTGCGTTATAGGAAGTATGATATTTGCTGAACGTGACCCAAGGAATGGTATGTGGTTTGGATCTTGTATACGACCAACGTGCTAAGAATTACCGAACGATTCAGTTTGTTAACCATGGTGGGAAACTGGTAATAATATGGCTTCACAGGGAACACAAGAGTGTTTGGTGTGCTGTGATTAGCTTGGATCACATGCGTCTGAGTCCATCAAGTAATCTTTGGGGGGAGGTGGAAAAGTGCGTTAATGTTTTGGATTTAGTCCACAAGTCATATAAGCTCTCAAAGCCTTAAATGAAACTGTTAGATTAAAAGGCCTTCCACATGAATGTCTAGTTTAGTACATTCTTTTAATAGTGGGGCTTACTATTAAAAAAAGATGGTAAAACCCCTTTCTTTTGCACCAAGGAAAAGGTCGTTGTTTTACCGACTTAAAAGTTAAAACCCTAGACTAGAAGACGAAGCGTACAGCAGTGAAACAGAACCCTATAGGCCACATGACGAATAATCCTGTAGCTCCACCACCTCGTAAGAAAAAAAAGAAGACGAAGACAAAGCCTCCATCGTTTTCATCGATTCCAGATGATGTCATTGTGAACATCTTAGCTCGGATCTCGAGATCTCACTACTGTTCTCTCTGCTTAGTCTCCAAGCACTTCTACTCTCTTCTCTCTTCTCCAGATATACACGCTGCTCGCTCCCTAATCGGTAACACAGACGCTCGCCTCTACGTGTGCCTATGGCTACCTACTCCCTCCTCCTCCGGTAATCATCATAGCTGGTTTACTCTTGGCTACCGTAGCCGTCCGTATCGGTTAAGTTTAGAACCAGTAAGAGTACTCTCTTCCTCGTATTCACCCGACCGGTTAAACTCAACCACTGTAGCCGCACACTCCGAAATCTACCAGATAGGAGGAAGCAACGAGGACAAGCGGACCAGAGCCGTTAGAGTTTTTGACTGTCGGAATCACACGTGGCGTTTTGCTCCAGACATGAAGGTGGCAAGGAAACAAGCACGGTCTTATTTTTTAGATGACAAGATATATGTAATAGGAGGATGCACAAAAACAGAGGAAGCAATGAGTTGGGGTGAGGTTTTCGACTTAAAGACTCAGACATGGAAGCCATTGCCTAAGCCTCCTAGTTTTGTTGATGACGCCCATTCGTATCACTATGGTGTACTAGTTTATGGAGGAAGGCTACACGTTTTCTTCATGAACAACTACAAGCACTATGCATATGATCCTAGAGAAGAAAGATGGTTACAAGAGGCTGGGTTTATGGGTCTAGCACGTATAAAAGGACCTTGGTGCGTTATAGGAAGTTTAATATTTGCTGAACGTAACCGTAAGTACTTGTGGTATGACCCAAGGAATGGAAAGTGGGTAATGGTTTATGGTTTGGATGACGTATACAGGAAACGTGCTAAAAATTACAGAACGACTCAGTTAGTTAACCATGGTGGGAAACTGGTAATTATATGGGAACAATGGAATAAGACTGATAGGGAACACAAGAGTGTTCAGTGTGCGGTGATTAGATTGGATCACATGCGTTTGACTCCATCAAGTAATCTGTGGGGGAACGTGGAAAAGTGCGATAGTGTTTTGAATATAGTCTACATGTCATATGAGCTCTCATGCTGCCATTCAGTTTTGGTCTGAAACAAATGTTATATTTGCTTCCAACTTATTATATTTCTAATAAGATGATATTTAGCTTTAGCCTAAATCTAATTTTTATGAATATTATTATTGTTGCAATTGGTGTTTTGCATTGTTTGTATGTTATCTTCTTTTAACATATGAATTAGCCATTGTTCAGGTTTTTTTTCACCAGTAGTTTCCACACGAGCAACAGCCATTAGAGAAGTGATGAAAAATCTTGGAATCTCCCACAATGATCTCTCTTCTCGTCACTTTCGAAGTCTTTTCCAAGAACTCGTGACATCTTCTGCAGATTCTCGTGTTGTTCCTCACCAGAACTGCACTTCCTGTTTCCGTAGAGATCAGTCCAAGACACGTGGCGAGTCTTACCGAATGTTCTCTATGTGAATTACTTCTTCTCTTCAATAGTGTCTCTGGTCTCATCTTCGAAACACAATGAACATAACTGTCTTCTTCTTCATCAACCATCCTCGAGACAATATCTAACACTTCATAGATCTTGTTAGTCTCCACGTGGGATCTATCTCCGTTTGTGAACACATGAGTTCTGCCTCTCGTCTCAACAATACTCCGACTCGTTGTTTTAGCTACGCCTTGGCTTTTCATGAGAAGCTTGATCCTGTTAACATCTTCCCATCTTCCAGCTTCTGAATACATATTCATAAGCAAGACATAGCATCCAGTGTTGTCATGTTCTATCTTAAGAACCTGTTCCGCTGCGAACTCAGCCACGGTAATATCATTGTGGTTTCTACTTGCTTTCAACAAAGATCCCCAAATCCGAGCTGTTGGCACAAACGGCATATCTTCAATGAATCTCATGGCTGAGCTTAAATTTCCTGTCCGACCAATGAGATCAACCATGTACACATAATGCTCTATCCCAGGATCAATCCCATATTCTCTTTTCATTGAGTTGAAATGTTCCCATCCTTCATCGATCATACCGGAGATGCTACACGCTGCTAATAGCGAGGCAAAGGTGCTCTTATTTGGACTTACTCTACTAGCAATCATATCTGAGAATAAGCAAACAGAAACTCTCCCAAAACCGTGTACCGCGTAAGCCATGATGATGCTGTTCCACGAAACAACATCCTTAAACACGACCTGGCCGAAACACTTTCTTGCGTCCTCGAGGTCTCCACACATGGCATACATGTGAACAAGTGAATTCAAGATGATGGTGTTTGATCCGTCGTATCTAGCTTTTACGATATAGCCATGAAGTTGTCTACCTTCACGCAAGGAGAGTGATTCTGCATAAGCTGGAAGAATACTAGCAAATGATGTGGAATCAGGGACAAGAGATGATGAAGAATCCCATAGCTCTTGAAACAGCGCCAAAGCTGAATAGTTCTCCCCGTTCTGCACATACGCAGCTACCATCGAGTTCCATGAGACCAAATTCTTTTGGGCCATTCGATTAAACACAGCCTCAGCTGACTTCACCTTCCCGCATCCTCCATACATATCAATCAGAGCAGTTTCCAACACTACATGAGGAAGAAACCCCCTCCTCGTTGCGTACCCGTGAACCTCGTGAACCGTTAAACCCTCTAAGATCTCACAAGCAGGAAGCAGATTTATCAACGTTATAACATCTGGCTGCTCTGACATTTTCTGAAAACAGAGAAAGGCATCAACGACTCTCCCATTTCTAGCGTAACACCCTATCATAACATTCCAAGCTACGACATTCCTATTCCTCATTCCCTTAAACACCCTCTCTGCATAACTCACTTCACCATATCTACTATACATGTCAAGAATTGACGTCAATACCATAACATCATCACCCGCTTGAACTCCACTTCGAATAGCATAGCAATGTATCTCCTTCCCCATTCTCGACCAATCCATATAACAACAAGCACCAAGAACGCTTATAATACTAAACCTATCCGGTTCAAATCCACATCTCAACATCTCTTTAAACAAAACCAACGAACGTACTCCATCACCAACCGCAAGAAACCCAGAAACCATAGAATTCCACGAGACAATATCTCTCTCAGGCATTTCGTCGAACACTTTCTCTGCATCCCATACACATCCAAGCTTCTTGTAAAAGGAAACAAGAGAATTACAAACGTAGACATCTGAATCGAAGAACCCAAGCTTGATCACCGTCGCGTGAACCGTCTTCCCTTCTAACAACAACGAAGCTCCAGCAGCTGATTTGATCACGAAAGGGTATGTAAAAGAATCAGCTTTGACTCCTGTACACACCATTCTACAATAAAACGAAAGCGCTTCGTGGTATAAGCCAGAGCTAGTGAAGCCTTTGATCATCACGTTCCATAAGAAAGTATCGGTTTTGTTCATTTCGTCGAACAGGTTGAGTGCATCCTCCATGAGGCCGGAGTCTGCGAAATCGCGTAGTGCGCGAGTGAGTGAAGAAGGTTCATTGAGCTTGGATGGGTCATGGAGAATTAGCCGGGCCGGTTTAGGGAATCTCCGGTTGATTACGAGATTCCGGTTCTCGTTTCGTTTCCCCGTCGTCTGGTGATTTTGGGAAGAAGCATCGCAATTGTAGTAGATACGAGAACACTGAGCAAACGACGTCGTCGCAGACATTATCTGAATCGAGCAGTCTTCTTCCCGCGGGATTTATCAGGCATACAGTGACGTCATTAATCTTCATTTTCTTAATATATAAGAAAAATAAAGGAAAACTTTATTTTTATTTGACAATGAAACGCAACAATGGTTTTTATAAAAACAGAGCTCTTTAAGAGAATATTTACACAAATTATTCAAAACAAGTTTTCTGTAAAAGATTACAGATTTTTTAAGAGAAGAAGTCGTCACGGCTAACACCATCTTCATCAGACACACGTTCTTCATCATCATCATTATTGAAGTTGAGGATAAGATCAAGAAGTTCTCTTCCAGTAGAGGATGAAGAAGCTTCTTCTTCTTCCTCTTCCTCTCCTCTGTCCTCACTGAATCTACTTCTGTTCTGTAGAAAGAAGAGTTGTGCTAACAGCTCCTGTGGTGAAGACACACGATACATCCATCCCCTTGGCTTTCTCTTACGCTGTTAACCACGCAAACACATAAATTTTCAAAGGAACCAAAAACAACACTCACGTAGTCAATAGTAAAAGGAAAGAACCAAAACGTATATACCGTTTCGATGTTAATGTCAGGTAACGTAGCTCTCTCAGCTGCCTTTGAGGTCCATACCTTGATGTCATTCTCAATACCGCTGCTAGCAAGCACTGGTATATACGGATGAGGCTCGATACAGTTCACTACATACCTATCTGCTTCCATAACACGTATAAGCTCTCCGCTTCTCTTCTTCCATATAAATATCCGACCACAGTCTGACCCACTAACCACATATTCAGACCTAGGTCCATAAAAATTCACACCCTTGACCGTCTCAATGTTCTTATGACCCTTATAAGCCATAGGAACTGAATCTTTCCTGCTATCATCTTTATCTTCAGATGGAATAGGGTTAGAACCTAATCCCATGTCGTGTGTGAAAAGATAAATGAACTCGTTGTTGTATGAAACAAGGAGTTCACTTTGTTCTGAGAAGGCTAAACCGGTTATTCCAACGTGTAAATCGCTGATGAGGTGTGGAGGGCAGAAATGATCAGCAGCTCCATCTCCTTGGACTCTACGGATGTCGTAGAGACGAGCGTACTCGTCCATCCCACCAACAGCCAAGAGGTTGGAGTTTCTAGGGTCCATTGCAATAGCGTTTAGCTGGGCGGCTTCCATGTTTCTCCTCCTAGGATCAACTGCTTGGCATGTGAATAGTTCTGTAGGTGCTTGAGTCCTCAGATCAAACTGAAATAAGCAAAGAATACATTTTTTAAAAGAAATCTTTAATTGGATTGTTGAAGTAGAACCAGGAAGGGATGTACTTACTCGTTGTACTAAACCATCTTCACCACAAGTGTAGAAGGTATGTGGGTTTCCTGGCTCAATACAAAGCTTATGAGCTCGTCCTTGATGCAATCCCAGTAACACAGTCTCCACTTTCCCACTCTCAAGAACATTTGCACGCCGAACCTGAAGATGTTTTAAACAATGTTCAAGAAAGGCTGATTATTCGAGATTTAAGCAATGAAATTATTGATTTATTTTAGTTTTTGATACATAGCGTTGATGGATTTTTAAAGATTATATATGCAAAAATAAAAGTAAATTATATAAATTTGTGTATTTGCACTAACTTTTTTGCTTAATTTAATCGATTTAGACTAATTTATATTGATTTTAACCAAAGTTAACTAGTTTTAAACCGATTTAAATTGTATAAATGGGATTAAAAAAAAAAAAAAATCCCCGGCTAAGACTGATTTTAAGAACATTCGTTTCACACATTTCACAACAACCTATTGAATGAAGAAGAAGCACTAAGCAGAGTTTTACTACAATGTTAGAAAGGAGGAGTGTTACCATTCCATCAGCAGCGCAGGTGACAATGGTTCGATCATCAGAGAAAGGCATAAACTTTGCCTGGAAGACGTTATTAGAGTGTCCTGAATGGAACGAAAGCTTGACATTCCCGACCTCCCAATCCCAAAGAAAGACACGACGATCATCAGAGCCGGAAACAAGAATGTCTCCTTGAGCGTTGAAGCTCACTGTGTTCACACAGCCTTTGTGTTTCGCTAGCTTCCTGTCTATCTCTAGACGCATAACCATATTCTACATAATAAAGGGAACACAATAAGAATGTAAACTCAATTTTACAGCTAAACCCACCAATAAAAAGATAATAAAGTTGGAAACTTTTTTCGAATTGACGATGGAACGAACCTCGGAGGCGGAGAAGCGATGGGAGAAGCTGCGAGAGGAGATTCCACCGACTTCTCGTCGCCAGAAATCGACGACAGGGTGGTGAGATCCGTTGAAGTGTGATTGAATTCTCTTCGTTTTATCACTCATCTTCCTTTTGAATTTTGACGAAGCTGGATCAAGGAGAAAGATTCTAGTTTGGTCTGTGTATGTGAATCACTGTCATCGGAGGAGAAGGTGAGGCAGTGGTGTGTGATCACTCTCTCTCTCTCATTACTAATGGGCTTTTTGGGCCTTCTTATGAATCTTTTCTAGTTTTAATTTGTTGTCGAATGTAAATTGAATTAACCACAATGCTGACATTTGTAAATTTTCTGGTGACTAAAACTAGTAGTTTTTAAAAAAAAAAAAAAATTTGAATTTCTATACATCAAGTACTGAGAATAATTACTAACCAGTAAACAATTATGAGGAAATATATGTGATGCAGAAATTTTCTTTCATTGAAACACATTCTTATAGCAAAATGTAAACACAAATGTATAGATCAATGAGATATGAACACAAAGAAAAACCAAATAAAAGCAAGTCCGTCTAAACCAACGAGATTAATATAAACATGGAAAAATACAAAGAACAAACACGATAAACACAACATGGCTGGTAGTACTCAACTCTATGTTATTTTCTTTCCTTCATTATTGCACATATGTAGGCTCCACGATTTGATTAAAAAAAAATGTAGCGTTTAGTTACAAAAGAAAAACATGGCTGGTACTGAAACAAGTCTATGATTGTTCTGACACGTCGCAATCATTGACACTTATCTATAACTTCTCTGAAAAAAATTGGTTTAGCTCTTCCTCAGCTTCATTCATTCTTTTGATCATAGCCTTCATTTTAACACACTGAACATCATCAATGTCCCTAACTTCATTTTCAGTATTTTAAAAGTCTTATAAAGATTATAAATACGAATAAGTTCAATCAATTGTTAGAGTTATAATTTGGGGAAAATATTCTATCAAAGTATTTTTAGAGATATATATTATCCGTAAAAATAAATGATTTGTGTATGTGTAAATAAATGAGTTGGTTCAATCTTCAATACATTTATGTTAAGCGGTTCTTGTATTCCTTCAATGCCATCGAAATCCTCTTATGAATCCAAGGATGTTGGTGGAAAATCAGTGTTCTGTCGTTTTCTTAAACTCCATGTCTCTTGTCATTAAGTGCTTCCAGGTTGAACCTTTTTGTGACAGAAAATTCATATTTACATGCTAACATTAGCAAGAATGCTTTAGGGTTTGAAGAAGTTTGCATGTAAACCCTTTTCAGCCAAAAGCAAAGCCGAAGCAATCACAAGCAAAACGCTGAGACACGCGCCTAAACTTCCCACCGAAACGTTGAGCAACCACATCAAGCTTTTCGTCTCTGGCTGTTTGATAGAGATCCACATGAAACACGGGTACGTAAATGTAACAAGCAAGGCTACTGCTCCGATAAGAACCGCAAGATAAGGCAAGAACGAGAATCCAACGGCTACAAAGAAGCAAACCAAACCCAAGAACACACGAAACATCATCCTGACAAAGACGGAGCAGGGCTTTTGACTCTTGGTTACGTACACCATCTCTGCGTTGTCACAAGCCGGCATTAAGTTTATCGGATATGAGCATAAGCAATTGAAGATGAACGTGATGTGTATGAAACAAGCGGCTTGTTTTGAGTAGTCTTGTTCGTAAAGGTTCAAGTAGTTTCCTATTGGACCTCCCGTAGCTGGAATCTGTCATGTATAAGAATTAAAATTAAATCAAACACATGCGTCAACGCAAATGCAAAATAAATAAATAAATAAATACTATATATTATGTTGACATACCTTGTCACCGTATGCCCAATATACAACAATGGCTACTACAAACATACAAAATGCGATGATCACATGAGATATCACCACAGCTCTCCACATCGTCTTACTCGAAGGATTCTTTGAATCGGAAGGAAGAGTACCCTACAAAAATATCACATTAAAACCTTATCAATACTTAAGTCCAAAACGTATATAAATCATTTTTTATATAATCTTGAGACCTGTATCTCTAGGATTAGGTTGTTCCCGCGTAATGAAATGGCTATCAATCCAATGGCGTTGAAAATGTTATCGAAACTTGTATCCTTTATAGCGTAAGAGACATTGTTTTGATGATTCCTTTGCGGATCCCAAGTTAGAGGTAAACTCCAAATTGCGGTGGAATATGCTACGGCCATGACACCACCGATCAACGAGAGTCCAAAGAGAGAGTTCAGGTTCGGAAACTGAGACAAGACCACAGCTAGACAGCTGAAGATCACGAAGCATTGCAAGGTAGAAAATGGCTCTATGTCACCTTCATACATAATGTGTAGAAGTTGTTTTATCGTTTTTCCTCCGGTTATAACAAGAATTGAACAAGCTCCTCCTGAGAGATACATCACAGGGAATATTCCGAGAAGCTTCCCAAGCTTCACACCTATTATAACAACAAGAAGGTAACGTTTTAAAATCTCAAGTCCATATTAAAATCCAAACCTCATAAAACGACAAAGTTTTCAAGAATTTGTATTTGCTATATTACCGAATGAAGCAATTGCGAGTCTCAAGTATCTGCTGAAACGTGTTCCATGTACGGCTTCGTGTAGATGAACAAGAAGCCATGTTGTGTAGAGCTTCCATGCAAATCCCACCGTTAATATTATTATTCCCCATACCCTGTAAAAACAAATATTTTAGTTCTTTAGATATTATTCGCGAAGACTAAATACGGTAAGAATAGAATCTGAGAAAGTAAAGAATATGATATAAAGTTTGATTTGATATAAGATGTTACCATCCAAGTGCTGCGAAAGCTGCAGGAAGAAGAAGCACTTGGAAACCTAGTCCCGAACAAAGAAGATGAAACGTTGCCGTGAAAACATTTCCTTTTCTTGATTCTGTGATTGGCAGCCACTCTTCTAACGGAATCCTCCCAACATCTCCGACGTCGTCGTCATCATCGGAGGTTGGTTGTGGATCCTTAGAAAGGGTATGTGACATAAATGAAGGAGAGCCACAACTTTCTTGTGATTCTAGATCAAGCAATATGCCTAATGCTTTTTTTGACATTGTATTAAAGTTTTTAAAACCTTGTTTTCTCTCTCTCTTGAGGATTCAACGTACAGCCACAAGTTGAATGTGTTATGTTCTTTTTTCTCTTCGTTCACTGGTTTATATAGTTAAATTATCGGAGCGTCGTAATTAGGAAGCTGCGTTATTAAATTTTGTTGAGTTTGCTTTATGACATAAGCGTAATGACGTAATCAGTTATGCTCCTTTATAATAACTCTACTGGTCCGGTGCAAAAGTTTCCATTCTGGTTTGCGTTAGATTGTGTTCACTGGACCTTTGAGTCAAAACAGGCGTCAATATCGAGGCGAACTTCCTTCATTGTGATTTTTTTGGCTACCTACACGGTTTATATTTAATACACATCGGACCACATAGTAGGAGATGGCAAAAGTTCGGATTGCTTTAGACTAGACTATTGTTTTATACAAAATTAGATTGAAAATAGTGTTGAGATATAAAGAGTCTAGTCATCTACTTTTACAACACTAATTATGTGAAGGATAAGTTTTAAAGGTAGTTTCAAGTGTTGTTGGTCGCCATTAAAGTGAAGACAAGCTAGGGTTGGTGGGAAGGGTGTATACCGGTGTATCTTGTTTCTTTTTTTGGGTATATCCGTGTATGTGATCAGTGAAATCCGTATCTCAATATCCATTATATCCATTTACATTGGGATATTGAGACTGATTTATACTTAAAAACTAACTGCAAGAAAATAGATTAATATGAGTAAATATCAACCATAACTATTTTGCAATATCCCTTATATATTAATCCTGAAGCATTCATAAATACACAACCTTGGACGGCATGTTTACGTGTCAAGCTCACAGAGTTTCTCAGCTTTAATTTTTTAATGTACCAACTTTGCTAGAAATGAAATAATGTAACATTTAATTTCTTGCATTTAGGACTATAATATATATACATTTTTGAGGGACCAATTGTGATAGGTATAAAACAATATATTTTATTTCCTTAAATAAAAGCTACAGAATTACCTAATATGATTAACATATATATGTAATTAATGATTATGAATAATACATATTTTTGTATCCTCTCTCTTTTTTGTTTAATTTTAAATTATTAATATAAATTAAACAATCACATTTAAATATATAATAAAAAAATTAATTTTTTTCTTATAAGTTATATTTTTAATTTTTTAAAAAGACCATAAATAACTAAAAGTAGTAAAATCCCACATTGAAAATTTTATGATCAATGGTTTAACTTTGTTTTTTTTCAAAGAAGATACAAATTATCATAAATCGTACAAATATGAAGTATCATTAGTAGATATTCTTAATATAAATATGTTAATTTAAAAATTTCAGTGAAAATGTTTGAGGTTAGTAGATACAAATTATAGTATTCAAAAGATTTTTGTAGTTTGTTTTATTTTCTTCTTTTTAATATCTTTTAGTTTGTCTACATAATTTAACCGATTTTAAATTAGATTTATTAATAGTTTAAATATTTTGTTTTTTTGTCAACTTTTAATGTTTAACAAATATTTTTTGGGATGATTTCAGATATTGGTTACAATCCAATCCAAACTGAATTGAGAAGATCAAATCGAATCCAATCCGATAATTAGTAAAATTCAGATGGGATTTATAAGAATAATACCAAGATCTGAAAATACGTGTCAATCAAACTAAAACCGACGAAGTCTCAAACATCCAGACCTATGATGATTTAAGATACCAACATTTGTATTCATCATTTTATAATCGATAAATATTGTAATATTGCAAAATGTTAAAACCCATTTAATGAATAAATATTAGTATAAAAATATCACCCCGCGCATGCGCGCGGGTTATCATATAGTTTATACGTAAAAACAAACTCACTTCCTAGTTCTATTCTGGATACGGACCCACTTTTATGGAAATGTTTAAATATTAATGTAAAAACAAACTCACTTCCTAGTTCTATTCTGGATACGGACCCACTTTTATGGAAATGTTTAAATATTAATGTATGTGTGTTTATATAAACCTTATGTTTATTAAATGTTTAAAATGCTATTTTATCAATAAAATTATAAAATTTTGTTTACTTTTACTTTGTGTAACTATTTTTTTACGGAGAGGGAAATTTCAAAAATTTACTTTATGGATTAAACTGCTTTTCCGAAAATTTTAAATTGAATAAAATCAAATAATATGTCACAGTCGATATTGTATAGCCCTATGATAAATACTACAATCTAATTACTTCAATTGCTTTCTCAATTGGTAAATAAGATATTCCCAATCGAACTAAAGGAAAGAGGCTAAAATCAGTCACCTTGTCAAAATATCGAATCATCAATGGAACAAACTCAAACCAGTCAACTACATATTTTAAATAACAGTTTACAAGGGAATTAAATAAAAAAATTCATGTCTGAATAAAAAATGCTGCCAGTTATAATGAATAAAAATATATATTTTGCATGTAAACAATTGCGAGTTTACATATAACCAAACTAATAACTACGTTCGGTTTTTAATAAATTGGAATATAATAACTATAGTCTATAGCTATTTTAGTAAGATATTTTCTTCAGTTTACATTACAAATATAGTAATTATAATCTATGCATGTAAACAACTTGACTTTGAACTCCCTTTACGTTGTTTCCTCGTGAATTCGTGATTACATATCAGAATATTGACAAGTCTTAGCAAAGATGACTAGGAAAGTACCCAACTCGATGCGTGTGGGTTTTCTCGTTTTCCATAGTACACACTGGAATTTGCAATTTCTATGATGAATCCTTATTACAAAGACACCGCCTTATTATTCAGAGTTCAGAAGAAGGACATATTAAAGGTATGATAAAGTCAGGCTTAGTAACGACGTTACTTAATGGATATTATTTAACTAAGCACCTAATTATACTGACCTAATTTTTCTTTATGTAAACAAAGTTCCACTAGACAGACGCTTTATCATATCGGTCGATTGAATTGCATGTTCTGTCTTGTGGCATGTAGCCATGTAGGATAGAAAACATATGATGTAAATAGTTATCTCATGATTTTTAGATATCAATTACTGTATCATAATAACCGTTAGGTTCTTTCTTATAGATTTGAGTTCATTATACAAATTAATTAACGGTTTCATCTGGTTCTCGGTGGCTAAGCTTAAGTCAAAAACAAGGTGTTAGGTGTCGGTCGATGTACTACTTGGGGATACTTTTGACTGGGCATTGCTTCTAAAAAGAAGCTGAGTTTTTAAAAAAGGGGATATTTATGTAACGATAATACAACTAGCGGTTGTCGGCACTTTACTATGTGGAGCCAGAATTTCAAAGGAGCATTAAGTAAAGTGGTCCTTGATTGAGAATATGCTAGTTGATTCCCATTTCTTTTTACGTGAATGATGTATATGAGAAACACGAAAGCGAAATAATTATAGATATCATTAGTACCATCTTGCATGTCTTTTAATATTTGTAAAATTCAACATGGAAAGACTTAAAAACGAAACAAAGTAAAAGAAAAGAATAAAAAGTCACTTTCATACACAAGTTGCGCTCCTTTAATAGTGTCGTTGATAAGAAACTAAATTGTTATTTCTCAGCGACGAATCAGAATGATAATCTATAGGACAGGCTAATTCGAAGGTTAGCATATATAAATTTGGTTAGTGCTAGACTGATAGATTCGCACTTATATATTCTTATTTTTCAAATGTCATCTCAACTTATTCGCTATTAGCGATGGAACTGAATTAAGGGAAACTGCATCCTCACTAGCCATGCAAACTTCCACTAGAGTGACATTTCGACAAGGCAACAAAGGCTATTTACTTCTTTTAACCTACACTTTATAAATCATGGGCGGTGGACGGATCCATTCATATTGAAGTGAGTCAAGTGACTATAGTTTATTAGGCTGTACTTGTATCTCAATCATTAGATTACTAAATGATTTGAGTAATTTATTTGCAAAGAGCTTTTACATTTTTTTTTTTTTAAATTATGTTGTCCTCATTGAATGTCTTGAAGTAACACACCTTATCACACACTAGATTCTAACAAAATGTTTATATGAGGCCGTCATGCCAAAATACAGCAGCTTCTAACGAAGTCAAAGATACTCCCAAGACATATCATAAGATCAATACTATTTTTTCCAGAGTCACAAGTGTATGTTATGTGTTTGTAAGACCAAACCAAGCTCACATATTTGTCTCTATTTTCTCAAGGCATATGAACCTGTGAGTGATGAAGTCATAGCAAAATCGAAGTGGGAGGTTGAGAAGAAAGTGCAACAATCACAACTTGACAAGTTGGGTTCTATTCTAACATAAGTATGCCGACTAAAAGACGCTATTTAGACTACTAGAGGGTCATTTACTATGTATCCGTATTATTTTATTAATCTATATGCTCAATACCTGGATAGATAGTCATCCACTCCCTTGTTCATAGGGAATGTTTTTGGTTGAGCAATAGTTGTTACTAACTACTAAGGACAACATTTTCAAAACTTTGAATTTTTTTCATACATATCTAAGTGCTTCTATGATTTACACCTGGATGCACAAAATCCTCTCTTTTTTTTTTTCTCACTGACACAAAATCCTCTTAAGCCTTGTATATTCTTAAGATAAATAACGTGTAGACTCTTCTTCGTATAATATATAGTTCTAAATGAACTTTTGCTATTTTGGGCCTATAATTAATTTTAGGCCCATTTACAAATCCAAGGAAAGGCCCAAAATGGTTTAAAAAAAATCGATTCATCATCTTCTTTGGGATGATCGAAATCGGAGAAACAAAACTAACAATGACAGTTCCTCCACTTCTCCTCCTCATCCTCACACTCCTCTCCCTCCCTCATCTCCTCATCTCCTCCGCCATCTCCGATGCTTACCCTTCCATTCCCGGAACAGCTCCAATCGACGGAGGTTTCTCCGACGATCTAAAACCCATCCGCCGTGAGGTATACGGAGAAGGCAAAATCTTCGACATCAGTCACCGATACACGCCGGAGATGCCGGCGTGGGACTCGAAGGAAGGAATCGGAAGGTTTCTATGGCTAGCTGCGAGCATGAAGAACGGATCACACGCTAACAACTCCGAGATGAAGATCCCTACTCACACTGGGACCCACGTCGATTCGCCGGGACACGTGTACGATGAGTATTACGATGCTGGCTTTGATGTGGACTCGCTTGATCTTCAAGTCCTTAACGGTAATTGCTTCTGATTCATTTCAAAGGTTCTTCTTACCTTTTATAGTTTGATTTCTCGAATTAGTGATTTAATTGCTTGAATTTGTGTTTTTTTTTTCTCGTTTTGTAGGTCCTGCTTTGTTGGTTGATGTTCCGAGGAACAAGAACATAACTGGTAAGTGAATTTGGTCTTTAGATTTTTTTATTTTTTTTTTACTTAAATAGTGATTTTAAGACAGTGACGGTCGTGTTGCATCATCTTATGTAACTAACTTGTGGTTGTGTAGCCGAAGTGATGAAGTCTCTTCACATACCAAGAGGAGTTCGTCGTGTGCTTTTCAGAACATTGAACACTGACAGGTTATCTTATCTTCCAACTTGAAACTCTGTTTCGTAATAAAACCCTGTTTTTTAAAATGTGTTTTATAAATAAATAAAAATTTACAGGCGACTTATGTTCAAGAAGGAGTTTGATACAAGCTATGTCGGATTCATGAAGGACGGCGCACAATGGTTGGTAGACAACACAGATATCAAACTTGTTGGTAATAAAATCTATTTCGTCAAGTTCTTATGCCATCATTATTATCTTATTTTAGAGAGATCAAACCAAGTTTGAAGTATCTTAGGGTGAAGTAGCTGAGTTTTGATGTATCAATTTTGTCAAAAATGTAGGGTAGATTATCTATCAGTAGCTGCATATGATGATCTGATTCCGTCCCACCTAGTATTTCTAAAAGGCCGGGTGAGTAAAATCATTATGCTAAGCTTAAGTAGATATGAGATATTGATAATGATGGTTACAACAATAATATATAAAACCTTTGACAGGAGACTATACTTGTGGAGGGATTGAAGCTGGATGATGTGAAGGCAGGAGTCTACTCTGTCCATTGCTTACCTCTAAGACTTGTTGGAGCAGAAGGATCTCCTATTCGCTGCATCCTCATCAGTTGATTTCCTCCCTCCAAAACTTGGAGTTGTCTATATGCAAGTTAAACCTTTTCTTAAAGATCTTATGCTTGATAAAAACGGTAATATAAATAAGGAAAAACTTGAGGAGGTTGCAATCCAGTTAGGAAATTTCATTACTTAAAATTTTAAAATTTGCATTATCATTATCAAGACCGAAATATTATAAAAAGAAAAAAGAAAACAAAGGAAACCGGATAACATATAAAGATTTTTGATTCCCTAGTTATATATATATCCATAATTCATATAAATAAGAGATCATTATAACCTCAAATAAACCATCAAAGTTGTACACCAAGAGAGAAATCAAAAACCCTAGGTACCAAAATCAAATCAACGAAGATGGAAGGAGCATTGCAAAGTGTGAAGGCCTTCTTGACTGCATTGGCATCACAATTAAGCAGTTTGATTAAAGACCAAATAGATTCCATTACTGTCGAGGTACCTACTACACTCGCTCGATCCCTTAAATCTTTTAATTAAGAAGACGTTCCACAATTAACCGTGTTTTGACATGCCTTAATTATGATTGATAAATATTTTTTTTCTTGGACAGATAAACCATGTTAGGACAAGTATGAACGAGGCGCTGCTTTCATGGGAAAGGATTTCTCAAAAGTTTGAAGATAAGTTGTCAAAGATTACAGCAGATGTTCAGCTTGGAAGAGAGACGAACGTGGAGAACATGTCTGAATCCGTAGAAGAATCAGAGATCGATGATCTCAACAGTGCCATGGGATCTTCATCCAAGTGCATGAACATGAATTTCCAGATTCCAAGTTCCAAGACATATCTAAATAAACGAAGAGCTTATGATTGACTTTGTTCACTTAATGTCGAAGATGTTACTCTCCTCTTTTTCCTGTTAAGATATTCTCATTTTCTATTCGTTTGCAAATCGCAACTACTTGCGGCTGCAATCTCCCGCAACCGCAATCACTGCGCCGTACCCTGATTGACCAATCACAAAAAAAAAAACTCTCTGTTTTTCCCTGTCAGAGATCATGCATATAGTTACATGTAATTGCATTACAAAACGAACATTAATTTTCTCTCTTCTCCCTCTATGGTTATTACATTACACCCCCCAATGAACAATCACATCGACAGGTTTTAAAAAAGAATCTTTTGAGGCTCACAAGATGATGATGTAAAACACATTTGTGTATCAAGAATCAAAAGATCATTTGCCGCCACCGCTTCCTCGTTGTCTCTTCTCTTCGAGCTGAGCTGCTTCGTTCAACATATCTGCTGCGTCAGTGTTCATGTTCAGCTTAGCTAACGCCACAGACTGCATGTAGAAAGCCGTTGGCCAGTCAGGATACACGCACTGCGCTTGCATTGCGTCGCGTAGCGCTGCGTCTGGTTGATCGCATAGTAAGTAGCATAGACTTCTCCGACCAAATACAGTTGGTGACACCATTGTTCCAACGTCGATAAACTGCTCAAAAAGCGAAGTGTATAATGTATAATGTGAAACCAAACAAGTTGTAACAATATCCAAATTAACAAAGGTTGATGATACCTGTGAGTAACAGTCTATGGCTGTTTTGAAATCTTTCTCGCGGAAAGCTTGATCACCACGTTTGCGTGCGTCAAGCATATCTTTCATCTGTTGAGTCCATTCTTGGAAAGATAACTGATAAAAACTCCAATGAGTTAGTTTAAGAGTTTAACCACTTTTTTTTTAAGTGTTTTAGTAAACTAAAAATCATGTAATAACAACCTCGTTAGTCCCTTCGTCGTCTCTGTAGTGTGTCATGACCAAGATCTGATGAATAGCAGTGAGATCCATCCTCGAGCAAGCCTCACCTAACGGAGAAAGTGGCCTCTGTGGCGTTGAAGGTGCCTCCTCATGCTTCTTTATTCCAAGCATTACATAAGAAGGGACCTGCAATCATATATGTTCAACACTTTAGAAGATGAATATAAAGAATTAACTCTGTAAGATTCAACAAGTCGATCACACTTACGTCTGATTTAGTCTGCAAGGGTGCAAGTGTTGCCACAAGATCTTTGGTATTGGGTCTCTCTCTCGGCTCATATTGCAAGCATTGAGAGGCGAGTTCTACAACTACGGTAGCTTCTTCTGTTGAGAACTTTCCCTCGAGGTGTGAATCCATCAGAAGAATAATATTCTTGCCACGTATCATATCAAGAGCCTAGAAGAAGGAGGTGTCAGTAAAATTAATATCTACTGGTATATGAAATGGACATCTCTCAAGAACCATAACTCAAGTGTGCAGAAGAACATAGCTATAACGTAAAGAGAGACGGTGACGATCTCAGCATTTTAGATTTTTTTCATAAACCAGAATCACTTAAAAGAAAAATCATGACCAAAAAGATGATAGGTAAGGAACTTACATGGCTTGGAGGAATGTGTTTTCCGCTAAGCAAATCAAGAAGCACTGTTCCAAAGCTGTAAGTAACACTTTCAGGTGTCACTCTTCCTACAAAACAAACATTTGACCACACTGAGACTCCAAATATAGACAAGGAGTTGAGAAAATCAAAACTATACTTTTGCATCTGATGCTGACTGTTACAATAGATCTTAAGAGAAATACACAGATTGATTTACCATTTCTTAGATATTCAGGTGGTGTATATGCTAGATTTGTGCTATAGCTTTTACCATCACGACTGTTCTTCATCAAGCCGAAACATGAGAGACGAGGATCACCATCCTATTCAATATCCATTCACAAACATGTCAAAGCGCCGCCCTGCTTAAATCTGGTGAGCATGGAATAAAAAATTATTGAGAAGAGAATGAATGATACCTCATCAAAGAGAACCCTGTAAGCATTTAAATCATGGTACAAAGGACGACCCTCTGTGCTACAATAATCCAAAGCTTCGGCTATGTAATATCCTACTCTCAACCTCATAGCCCATTCAATGGTCTGATTTTCCCCTGTTAATGACCCAAAAAAAAAAACACACAACATGATAAAGGAAAGTTTCCACTTTTAGTACTAAAAGTCTAAAACACAACACGTTAAGAAAAGTTTCCACTTTTTAAGACTAAAACATAAAACCCATACTCTAATGCAAGCCCCTGAAATTGGCAAAAACTGGATACTTAAAAAAAGACTATCTTTAGAGACGCATATCGAATTATATATACAGCCTAAAAGATTCATCACTCTAACGGGAAACAGAGATAGAGAGTATTATTACAGTGGAACAAATGCTTAGCGAGTGTATCGTTAGGCATGAACTCAGCAACAAGAAGCCTCTCATCTCCATCACAACAGTAACCAATCAAATTCGCCAACCGGTTATGTCTGAATTTCCCAACACCCCATGCTTCTTCCTGTAACAAAATTCAATAAAAAAAAGAAAAAAAACATAAACGATTAATCAATTAAAACAGATTGAAAGTGTTGATTTTTTTTTTGTCTGTTACCGCGAATTGTTTAGGATCAGGCCAAGCCATCTTAGTAAACTTCTTGACGGCGATCCAACGACGGTTCTGAAGTCGGCCTTTGTAGACAAGATTTGGGGCTTTCTCGCCGCTTTCAGACACGATGTTGTCGGAGCTGAAGTTGTTCGTAGCTGATTTGAGGTCGGAGAAAGAGAACTCAGAGAAAGACGGTATCCCTCCTCCTCCTCCTCCTCCAGCTACACCACCAGCTCCGCCGCCTCCGATTCCGCCGTTATCAGCCGTCGTAGCGCCGCCGTGGTGGTTTTGAGTCACTTGCGGTGGCTGAGCTCCATCTTTACCAAGCGGGTTGTGTTCGCCCGAACACAAAGATTGACAACAACCCATTGAAATTTCTAAATCCTTTTTTCTTCACGACAGAAACAAAGCGAGTCGGAAAGTGTTTCTCTTTAGCTTCTTGTAATAGAGAGAGAAAGAAAGAGAAGAATATAGTGGTGGAAAAATAAAAATTGGATTTTATTTTATTTTTCTCTTTTGTCTTGTTTGACTCCTGAGGTAAGTTTCTAATACGTTGTCTCCTTATTGTCAATGATAACATGCCACTTCAAAATTAAGTTGAGATTAACCTTAAAGAAATTATAATTATAATTTTAACTATCAGTAAAAGTATTTCGGAGGTCAATTTTGAAGTTTGCAGTGTTTTTCTGGGGTTTATAAAACTGTTTTATCTTTAACCAACGAATTTTGCGAATTGAAAAGCCAAAGAATCAGAAGAAGGCAACGTCTTTTGTGTGTATATTACTATATTATATACAATAATACAATAATAAAATGATTCGGATGTTCAATGATATACACTTTGTGGTACCAAAAGAGATTTTGGAAAAATCACATTATTTGCCAGCTCAAAGTGTTTGTGATTGGAGTGACTTATCATCGACCATTCCTACTTTTTCTTTCTCCATTTTTTTTCATTTTTTCTTAGTACAACCAATTTATTTTTTGCGTCTAGTTCTAAGTATCTAGTTATTTCAAAAGATTCGTACTTGTATAGTGTAAAGATAAGCGTGTGAAGAAAATCTGGAGTTTGTAGAAAGTTGACTTGTGAAACCGTGTGATATTTAATTCTGATTCATATGTTTTTTATATATATTTCTGTCGAGTCTATATACTGACTGGTTATTGACGTACCTTCTAATTAGAGTAATGTCAGTTTTATTTCCATTTGAGTATTAATTACTCTGTTACCAACGAAAATGACTACTTTTATGCATAAGTCCTACAAAATCTTATAAGAAGTTTACTTATTATAAACAAAATATTTCACAGCTAAAAATACATTTTCGTTGTCATTTGGAACTCAATGGGTACTACAATCTATTTGGAAACCACATAACCTATAATATTGTTATTTTTTTTGAAACACATAATAGGTGTTTCAACCTATAATATTGTTAAATGTTCAAAATCATATTATCATTTGTTGACATTTAAACTGGAAACTTTAGATTACCAACACTGAATTGAAAATGGTTATGCGGTGCTTTTAGATAGAGACCTCTAGACTAAACTTTAAACAGCTTTCATGCTATTTTGAATTTTGTTTGGACACCTGAAATGCTATATAAAAATTGTATGCAATGGTTTAAACAGCTTTCATGCTACACAATTGTTTTTATCTTCTTAATTTGGATGTTTGCAAATGAAAAGTATTGTTGCAATGTTTATACTACTATTTACTAGCTTTCGAGGTTACAAGAGCTGTCTCTTGTGTAGAAAAGAAAAAGAGTGAAGTGATCCAAAGATTCTCCAATGTAATTGGCTTTCTTATATGATTATATGCTCAAGCACTATCTCTAGTATATAATAAACATTCATCATTAACCTATCGTTGGATCCCAACAATAACTTATGGCACTTATTCTATTCATGTTATCACTTTATTTAAATTTATTTAATTTGCAAAACAGGAAAAAAGATTGGACACACGAGACGTCAAGTTCACGCTAATCATGTTTGGCACGGCAACACAAACTCGTTAACTATTGGCGCAGGGACTAATTGAGCAAGAAGGGACCATTGTGTTTAGTATTATTAAAGTTTCACGTTAATCATCAATGTGTAAGGCTGTTCAGGTTAATGATTGGTAATAGTTTGTAACTTATCATAAAATGAAATTTAAAGTTATAGTGTTCATTGCTTCATTCTTTGAAACAAGATTTTTCAGTTATAAATTAGTTTTTAACTTTTACTTATTCTTACTTATTTATATAAAAATTTATGCATTTTCTTCTATAGATATATGATGCAAATTTTTAATTAACTTTAACTCTTGTTAATAAGTTTCTAACTCCGCCACTGTATACGAATATGTTAGAATCTCAGTCATCTCGTTAGTTTATACGGAATAAAATATTGATCTGGTGAATGAGACACACACTCGTTAGCTTATCAGTGCAGAAAATTTGTTTAAGTGACCACACTTGTAATAGCAATAGATATTGGACATAACATAGAGATTAAAAAGACACCAACAATAAAAAAGAAAGTGTTAAGGTTTTGAAGGCAATAAAAATCTAAGAACATATTAGATATCACCTGTGTTTTCACGCCGTACCCAGACCTGTGGTTCAACTGTTAAATCCAGTGACCCGATAAATAATCTGATTTGGGTTTTAAGAAATATCCTCCAAGAAGTAGAGGAGAATACCCAATGCAAACATGATTAGCGTGAATTTGACGTCTCGTGTGTCCAATCTTTTTTCCTGTGTTTTTTTTGTTTTCCTTGTGTTTTCCATAAGTTTTTTTTTGCAAAATAATAAATTCAAATAAGGTGATAACATGAATAGAATAAGTACCAGATGTTATTGTTGTGATCCAACCATAAGTTAATGATGAATGTCTATTATATACTATTAGATCACACGAAAATTCATTTTATAAAAATAAATATTATATATTTTATCAAATAACATTTTATAAAAAGTAGTTTACAATTGTTTTCGAAGAAATACATGTGTTACAAAATTATTTTGCATGCTTTTTATATTCCTTTATTGATGATACTAAAAACTATATTGTGTTTATAGGTTTGGTTGTAATATATTACAAACATGTCAATATAAAATAAGATATCTGTCTTATTATAGCTTATCTAAGTTATTTAAAATTCTCCAAAACAACTGAATATTAGATCTTGCTTATGTTACAACGAAATGCCTTTGTTGTTATTAGAGATGATGAAAAATTGCACTATTTCTGAAAGGACATTAGAAGTAGAGGAGAATACCCAATGCAATATTGACAACAACCCATGCTATATAAAAACTGCAAATCATAATGACCGTTCGAGAAAATAGTTTGTATGTTCTTAGTTTGGATGTACGCAAATGAAACGTATCTTGCAATGTTTCTACTTTCTACTATTTACTAGCTTTCGAGATTACAAGAGCTGTCTCTTGTGTGTACATAAGGCAAAGAGTGAAGTAATTATATGATTAGATGCTCAAGCACTATCTCCAATATATAGTTGGCTTTCTTATATGATTAGATGCTCAAGCATTATCTCCAGTATATAATATTATATACCACACATTCATCATTAACCTATAGAGTTGGATCACAACAATAACTTCTGTTACCTATTTTATTCACGTTTTCACTTTATTTAAATTTATAATTTTGCAACAACAAAAAAAACAGGAAAGAAAAGATTTGACACACAAGACACGTCAAGTTCACGCTAATCATGTTTGGCACGGCAAACACAAAGTCGTTAACTATTGGCGCATGCACCACTAATGAGAAAGAATGGACCATTGTGTTTAGTAATTATTAAACGTTGATCACCTATGTGCAAGGCTGCTCAGGTTAATGATTGGTAATAGTTTGTAACTTATCATAAAATGATTACACATTTTTAATCTTATGTTAAAAGAAAGAGAGACTTGCCTGAGCTACCTCCGGATTTTACAAAATAATTGTTCTGAACTACCAAAAGTTGCATCCTAAACGTCTTATGTATACACTGCCCTAAATAAAAATTAATAGACTCACACTAATATCTGCAACCTGCATCATATATGGTAAAGTAACAATGTTATCAAACCTTCATCTACCATAGCAATGTAAACCATCCGGTTCAAACCTTCTTGCACTAAACCGCATCTGTAAACCGAACATTTGGCAGTAGTCTCTTTACTCGGTTTATGCCTCCTCTTAGATCATCATCATGATGGGGGCTCTTCTTGCCCGAGTCTCAGATGGTTTTCTAGTATACCCAACCGTACAGGTATTCCCAGCATTGCAAGATCAGCAATAAAGCAAAGATCCTTCCTCCTCCTGTTATGTTTATTATTCCTCATCATCTTCCTCAAGTTCTCGTGGAGCAGTTTCTTCTTCAGCACGCACTAAGAGATCATCATAAGCTCGCACAGATTCAGCAGTGAATCTCTCCATAGCTTCAAAAATCCGCTGCAAACTCCCTTGTAAACTATCATTGCTCGTATCACTCTGGTAGACAACGTTTCCAGACAAAGAAAGACTATTAGTACCATCACCAGGTGCCACAAGAACCATCTTCTTCTCCAGCGCTTGAATCTCTCTATGTATCCTCTGTTCCTCCCTGTCCATGTTCCTAACTCTCTTCTCCGAATCACCATGCCCCATCATGTTCGTCTCTAACCGATCTTGCTCCCAAAGCTGAAGCACACTTGTAGTGAAACTACGCATTGCCTCGATAACTTCCTTCTCGGATATCCTGTCCAGAGCTTGAGACCATTGGTTACATATCACAAAGATCGGTGGAGCTCCCATACGACCAGGCGAGAAAGGAGCGATGCCATCTGGCGTCTCCTCGGGTTCATAGAGAAGACATTTCATGAGCCATTTATTCAACTCTCTTACATAACCTTTCTGCGCGCTGACCCAGCTAGAGAATCCCAATATCCAGTTGATAAGTTCATGTCCTAGCAAACTCGTTGCCTCTAAATGCTCTTCACCGAGTTTCTTGCTCGCTCTTATAGGGCCTAGCCCACGAGCTTCCATAATGGCCTGACATTGACTTTGATGACACTCAAGCATTGCTTTCCACATTCTTGTAAGCCTGAGAGAAACATAAACAACATTTTAAAAATGTATAAACATGAACATGTAGAGAGGCTAAGCTTTACCCTTGAATCAATGCATTAAGTTGCGGCCATAGATCTTCGTCTCTAATCTTATTAATCGTCACAGAGATTTTATCCACAACCTGAATCGCTATCCGTATCTTCGTTGACATGTCTCTCACTAACTTACGAGTTGTGTCTACTTTAGTAGCTTCAGCACCTCTTTCATCCAAACGCTTTAGTTTCCTTAGCTTCTTCTCGTGAGCTACACGTAACTTCTCCTCAGCCTACACAAGAGTATAAAGCTTTTCTTCAGACACTGAACATATCACAATGTTTTAAGACAAAAATATTACCTTCACTTCATGGTGAAGCTTCTTCTCCCAAAGATGAAGCTTATGCAATGTAGAAGAAAGATTCCTCGACCTTGAAGCAAGCTCTTCTTCAATGTCTGCGTAAGAAGCCGGCGCAGCAGCAGCAGCAGAAGCCGAAGATCCTCCTCCAGAGGTAGAAGGTAACGAAGGATGTAACAACTTCGAAGCTGTTCCATGAAGTTTAAATCTTTTAATTAATCTGTTCGCATAAAATTTAAGAACTATTTTGTTAAAGAGCTTATTACCATGTTTACGACCGTAAGGATGCTTCCCAACTTCAAGCAACTTAGCAATCTCACTTCCAGACTCCGCAGCTTTCACAAACTGATTCTCAATCTCTTTAGCAACCTCATGCACCGCACGTGGCCCACCTCCTCCTCCTCCACCACCTCCGCCACGTGTCCCAGTAGCATTACTCCGTCTCTCTTCGTTTCCACCATCTTCAACAACAGTCTTCTCAACCACATGCACTTCGTACTCCACACCTTTCTTCTCCACCGACACGCTCGGTCTCGACTGATACATCGCCGCCTCCGCCGCATCGCCGCCGCTAGTGCTAGCCCCTGATTTATCAGCAACCGGCGGAGGAGGAGACGGAGAAGGAGCCTCTTCTCTGTACACGGCGACGGGAGGCGGTTGTTTATTATTTCCACCGGCGGCGGCGAACTTCGGTCTCCCGTGAACTTCCTTAACAACCTCGTACTGTGAATCGTCCTCCTCCAGCTCCGGGATACCTTCTTCCTCCCTAAGCTCTCTAGAATCTCGACTCGGAGTGTACGGAGGGTAGTAAACATCAAACGGATTCAAAAAATCCCACCCGTTGGACCGAGGTGGCGAAGGAGGAGGCGGAGGCGGTTTAGAGGTGTTACCACTTGAAGAAGAAGAAGAACCGTAGTATCCGGGTCCGGGTCCGGTATTTGAGTATCCGAAATTAGAAGGATAAGGATTGTAAGAAGAAGATGATGATTCACCCATGTAGACTCTTTGAGGACTGCTTGGTCTTTGCTCATAGATTACCGAAGGAGGCTGTGACTTGTTTTTCATGTAATTCATGTGCATATAACTTCCTCCTGAGTAAGCAGAAGGTGGAGGGAGATGTTGATGGCCCATCATCATTTCCGGATTCGGGTACCGGGTATTATAACCCGGTTGTTGTTGTTGTTGTTCCATGTAAGGTAAGGAATCTTGTATCGGGAAATGACCGAGATGGTGGTGGTGTTGAGGAGAGAGATGATGTAAAGAGTCCGAATCCAAATCGAGGTGGCCTTCATCATCATCTTCGTCGTCGGAGTCTGAATCCGAATCGAATTCGAGATGACCCGAATCAGAACCCGACCCGGAGTGGGCGTGGGCGTGGGCGTGAGGTAGTTTTGCTTTCTTGGGAGGGGATTTTTTTTCTTCTTCGAGGTCGCCTTTTCTCTGAGGAGGGAGGTTGAGTCGAGGAGAGTCTGCTCCTCCTCCGGCGTTAGCGCCGCCGGAAGAGACGAAACGGTGGTGGTGGTTGATGAAGAGGTGGAGTGAGTGACCGATTCCTCTAAGCGAGTTAGTGTACGCCACGTGGGATTCGGATAATAGGTGACGCTGCTGAATCGCTGCTTCGAGGAAAGAGCAGCGGTCACGGCAGAGAGCAACCGCCGGGAGATCGTCGAGTTTGGAGCTTGTACAACCCATTTTCAATAATTCAAAAAAAAAAAAAACAAATTTAAATTAAAAAAAGGAAAATAAAAACAAACGAAAAAAAGAAAGAAGAGATTTGAAATCTGAAATGAAATTAAAAGGAGAGAGAGAGAGAGATGAAAGGTGGGTGAGAGGAATAAGAGATGGAGGCGCATATGGGGTAAAGATGGGTGTGGTTTGATGGTGATAGAAAGAAAAAGCAAAGAGAGTTGAAGTGACTGTTTTCTCCAGAAAGTATTTTATTATTTGCTAGAAAAATTGAAAGAGATAAAAATAAAACGAATTATTTAGGTCAAGAATAAAATAAAAAATTATTATAAAGTAAGAACAAAAGGAAAAAACAGCAAAGGACTGTGGAGGAATCTTGCCAGCACCGAGATTTTCGTCTCTTTCTCCCATTAGTTGAGTCGGTGTTTTTTTCCCTTCATTTTCTTTTTCCTGGTAAATTAATTACTACATTTTTAATTAATTACGTATATTTATTTTAGTTGAAAATGAAAAGCTTTTTAGGACAGTACTTTGAGAGGTTCAGATAGAAGACATGGATCTTAAAAAAAGATACGGGTAGTACTTGTGTTCTCTAAAAGATAAGTATAGTAGTAGAAGTGTTTTGGCTTTAGGCTTCACGGTAACTTTGACTCGTTTTGACTATTTTCATTATGTGTTTCTCCAAAACACCCTTAGCTATAGTCTTTAATTACGTAACGACAATATTTGATTTGGACAATTTAAATGGGAGTATTATTACATGATGGTAACGGGTAACGTCGGGGAATTAAATGAGGAATGTACGGTATTTATGTTTTAAATTAATTAAGTAATTCCTTTTAGGAGGCCGTGTTGGTTTGTGTGTTCAAACTAAAGACGTAACTAGATGGATGTTGTTACCTAAACAGAACTTCAGGCTTCAGGTGTGATTGCTAACGTCGTCAGCGTTATATTTCTCTCTCGTTGACTAGACTTTTTTTATTTTATTCTTATTAATAAATTCTATCATCCGAATACATATGTATACTCGTATATAGCTAAGGTTCAATACAAATTAAACTGCAGGGAGTCAACCCTATATATATTCTAGGTGTTTCTATATTAATTCGACATTATTAATTTATATTAATTTTTACATAATCTAAAACCTCAACCAAACAGTTTCCGGCAACACAAATGCAAATAATTATTATCTAAATCTTTGTTTTAAGGTGTCATTTACGCTTTTTGTCAAAAGGGTGTCATTTTACCATCTTCATAAATTTGGAGAGTCACGTGAATATTGCGTCCATTATGTTACGCATGTTTGCATGTTAGCTATAATAATGCAAAAGACATGTTTCTGAAACTATATTTTTTGGTAAAATGTTTCTTAGAATATTATGCCTCAATTATATAAAAAAATAAAATTTAACTGATAATACTTGACAAAAGTCCTATATATATTGTTTAACCGGAGTTACACAACTCAACAACGATTTTCTTTTTTAACTTGCCTTGGACTACTAGGATTAACAGTCTAGAACACGAGCACGCACATTGGCACAACAAAACAAATCACAGGTCAACTGCGAGAAAATGTGGTGACGCGAGTTTATAGCACAGCGTTAAAACTATCAAACAACGACCCATGCAGCATGGATCGGGACACATAAGGATACTTAGCATCGAAGCCTTGTAACTATTATCTAAATGTTATTTACCCAGAATAACTTGGTGCTGAAGCAATTCCTTTTGTCCCAATTCTGTTTTCTTTTTGCTTTTTCAAACGAAATTCTTTCTACTTTGCATGTTTGTCTTCTTTTTCCCCCTTTACTGCATGCTATATCTTTTATCGCTTGGAATAAAATCTGGTGCGACATTTAAAGATCAGTCTGCGTTATACCGCATATGGTAACTGTAATTAAAAAATACAAGTAAAACTACTCCTACAGATAAAAAGGCTTCTACCTCTTCAAAACCTATATTTCAACAGAAAATAAGTTGTTGCATGCGAGGGTTTACTTGTGTTTGAGACGGACATCCATATGCATGATGCGTATTTTATGTGGCAAAAAAAAAACGATGGAAACATTAATAAAACACTAAGACCGTTTTAATTAAAAGAATCAATTATCATATTCCAAAATATCGTAGATTATAATGCCTTGACAACAAAAAAGATTAAAAACGCACTTCGATATAAATTAGGATTCTAAAATATGATATAAAATATAGATACTATTATATAATCTAGGATAGTAATTTTCAGTCAGGAACTCGTAATCTTTGATAGTAATCATAAGATATAAGCTTTTGCCTTAATTTAAAATAAGTTTGTTATGTCCATCATCCAAATGTGTTGAATAATAAAAGTCTCCCTCGAAACTATCTTTTGGTGGCGTGCTAACAACCTCGAAAGATTACCAGAGAGTTTTTAGATGTGTTACACTTAAGAAGAAACTGGATGTGTGATCAGCGAACAAATTTACACGCTTTGGTACATTCGACATTTCATTTGTATGTACCTTAAGGTTCAAATGAGACTTATGTATTATACTTCAAAATTACAGTAGAACCTTTATAAATTAATACTCGATAAATTAATATACACTAAATATCTCTATAAATTAATATAATTTTATAATGTCAAATTGGGTTTTTGGTTCAATTTGTATATCTATAAATTAACATCTCTATAAATCAATTAAAAAAAAACTGATATAGTCCCAACATTATTAATTTATAGAGGTTTTACTGTATTATTAAAGGTTTAATATACTTGAATTTTGTTTGGTTCAAGTTTTACCAACGATGGTGTGTTCATAGATCAGTTGACTAGAAAATTGGTCAATATGTGCGAATAATTCCATTGAGTTCAACAATAGTTCGTCATTTGGATGTTTTATGTGCCGAAAGTTTATAAGTTCTCCCAAAAGGTTGTTTCTAATTCCTATGGATTTCAACACGAGATCTTCCACAGCGCATTTGCTGTTGCCAATTTTAACGGTCCATAAAGCAGAAATATCTAGTCAAACAGTGAATTCAACAATGGATTATTTGTATGTCGATGGATCTTCAAAGTTGGAGTGATTGGACTTTTATTTACCTTCCCCGTACGATTTATATATACTGTATATAATTTAGGTGGTTTAGTTTTGCATAAAACTCAACAGTATTCATGCTTTACCTGAAATTCAAAATAGTTGAGATCATATTTTAACACAATACACAAAGCAAAAACAAAATAGATATCACATTCTATGTCATGTAAACTGTTTGACAAGTGTCCAAAATGTTAGTGATATTAGGTACAAAATATACGAGGCCGTGTTGATTTAGAGGCGTAAAGTTTTGAGAAAGTTCCTTTGGTCCCCTGCCCAACTTCAATAAGTCAATTATTTCTTACATTTTGAGGAAAGCGTGACGAAGTAAACTTTATATAATATACTTGTAGTGTATGTAAATGAAAATATACAAATAAATAAACGAGGGGGATATTTAAAACTACAGTAATAAAAAATTGAATTTAATGCATTGTGACGTCGTCGTCTTCTTCTTCTTCTTGTCCCTTTCACCTTTTTATTTTCCTCACTTTCTTTAGCTTAGTTTAGCAGGTTTACGTATTTGATTTGCTCTTGGTTCAGGTTCTAGGATCTATATAACAGTATTGTTTACACATGAAGTTATCTTTGTGTTAATGCTTCATTTGGATCATATTAATCGGCGTGCTTCATTACTTTATATTCTAATATAATTCTGAGAATAGAACGTAACTATACAGTTATTGTAGCAACACTTTTTCATATCTCGGCAAAAGTTGTAAATATTTTATCACAAGAAGCAAAATTATATACAATATTTTTTTATATACAATATTAAAAAATTATTTAGTCTTTGTTAAAGCACATGCTCACAAGCTGACTTCAAAGGGCCACTGTGGTGAATCCACACCCTATAGCAAGAATAGCCTCAAAGCTATTCGAAAATAATAGTTTTTTCCCGAAAGTGTCTTATTTCAGTTCTGGCCATTTCTATACGCAAATTACTATATAACTCTAGTCTTAGTGTTGACTGATAAAGTTCTGTTTTATTTATAGTTTTATACTCTATGCAGTAATATATGCTATAGTGACAGATTAGGCCGTGTATATATGAGTAATGAGTGGGAGAATTTTTAAGTATGATACAACTATTTAATTCCTCTGCTATTTAGTGGGTTGGAATAAAGCTCTGATCAGTAAGATATATTTATGTGATGGTCATTAATGGGAGCAGATTGAATTTAGGGTTTATAGGAAGAATAAACAAAACACAGAAAGTCTTCGAAAGATGGGGAGAATTCGGCAGGCACAGAATAATTGGGCGACGACGACAGGTAACATGTGACGCCCATTTCACTGGTGAAAAAGGTTCACTATATAGACAAACTTTTCATTTCATGTTTTATGTAGTACTCCGTATTTAAATATGAGTATATATAATAGATAGTCTTAGGTCTACCTCAGTACCACGTCCACTATTTTTTAGTAATTTTGTGCATGCATTCCAACATATAGATTTCGAGGTCTATGATTTATCGTATTTCTAGTTGTACTTTTTTTTTGGAAAAGATTCTTATTTTCTAGTTGTCCTTAGTTAGGAATTGTTAATAAAGAGATTTTTTTCTAGCTGTAATGCTACATTTGAATAAGAACTAAGCTAATACATGCAATAAAAATGTTAAGTGGTTGTAGTTGACCCAAGCTGCATTTTTTCCCTTTTTTAAGCAAGCTGCATTTTGCAAAATTTTAATTCAGTTAATTAATTTGGTTGTGATAATTATACAATATTTTAATACAAGCCAAATATGTATATATCTTTTAACTTATGAAATATTATTATGTCTTGTGTTTCAACAAACTTCACATATACTATGATTATGAGGTCTTAATTTGTCAACAGAAACCTTTGATAATAAAAATGAGAAGATAGGGAGTTAAAAAAAAAAGAGAAGACAGGGAGCATCAAGTGTGTTGAACCATAAG